GGTTGAGGGGTGTGTGGTAAATTTGGCCAGGGAAGTTGAGGGCTCGACTAAGAGGCAGGGCCCTACGGAAAAGAGTGGCGGGCAAGTGACCTTGTCACATCTGCCCACGTTGCCGCGCTGACAGGACTGGCATCCGGACACACCCTCCCATGTCCCTGGGGAGGTCACTGGTCAGCACCCCAGTGCACAGCCACCCAGCTCCGTGGCCCACTGGGCCCCCTGCCCGCCAGGCCTCATGCGAGCCACTGACGCACAGAGAGGCGGAGGGGACTGCATGGCCCGGCTCTCAGCACGTCTGGCTCACTGTCTCCTCCGAGCCACCACACGATATTTCTTCTCCCAAAAACAACATCCATCTCTTTTGTTTTAATTGACAGAAGAGCTTTTTCATGTTCTTGGGACTGTAAACTCTGCATCAAATTTTCCACCACTTTTCCTGGTGTGTCTTGGTGGAAAAGTCAAAAACAAGTCCATCTTGGGGCCTAAGATTGTGGAACCTTTTCAACTCCCTTGGTTTCTCCCCAGGTCTTCCGCCAGGGGGAGGCCACAGGTAACACTTTCTCAGAGGCCATGATCGAGTGTTAACAGAAACGCATGTGGCTCCAGTCCTTACCACAGTTTGCAAAGTCAGAACAGCATCCCTGTTTGAAGACATGGACAATGAAGCTCAGAGTGGTTGAGCAACTTGCCCAAAGTTCAGCATAGGAGCCAAGATTCAGGCTCGGGTCTGTCCAGGCTCAGAGCTTACGCGCCGTGACCAAACCACACAGCTGCCCTTCCAGCCCCAACACGTGCAAGCTGAGAGCTGCTCATCCCCCCAACTCATTCACAGCTGTCAGCTGCTGAGCAGATCTTCTGTCCCCCATGTCTCTGGACCAAGCTCTGCGCTCCCACCGCGCCCACACCCCCAGCTCCTAGGCTAAGGCTGCTTGGCTGCACCTCTTAGGGAAAGGCAAAGAGTGGGAAAAAGCCAGTGCCATGGGCACCGCCCACTGGTCAGGCCATGAGGCCTCCTGGGAAGAGTCCAGCCTCTGCAAGGCTCCACTCAGATCCTGCAGCATCCCACCTAGGACCAAACAGGGCCCTCCTGAGCACCAGTGGTCCTAGAGGGTGAGCATGCCAAAGTATGGCAGGCCAGGTGGGCACTGCCCAGTATGCCCAGTATGGCCTGTTCACCCCGCACAGCCACCCTTCCCTCTGGCCTATGCCTGCAGGAAGACCTGGGGCAGCATGAACAGGCTCCTTTGCCCTTTGGCTTCCAGCTAGGTTTGGCTGGTGGAAGGAGCTAGCACTGGAACTATGGGTGGAAGATGAGACCAGGGGAGAGCTTGCCCCTCCCAGGCAGCCTCTCCCAAGCCACACAGCCAGACAGATAAACGGGCAGCTGCAGCTGCTGCTCAGCCTCCCTGGCCGGCCCTCTGGGCCTTGCCTGGGGTTCTTCAACCCTTGCTCATGGCCTTGGCCTTCTCGCCCTCAGGAAGCAGCCCCTTCACTAACACCTCCTCAGGGCCCTCCCCGCTCCCGACAGGTCCCAACCCCACTGCAGTCACTCAGGACAGAAGTGTGAGATGAGCACAGGCTGCTGCCACAGCTTGTCCCAGTGCAGCTGGCACACAGTGGGGGGTCTTCGTGCTTCTCTCATGCACTCGCTGTTCACTTGTCAGGTAGGTGTTTCTGCTGGGCAGCTTCTGCTCCCTGGCTGTCCACTCCTAAGGACTGCGGGGAGAGGCCTGGACCTCAGAGCTGCCCCAACACCACGGCTGTGCGCACGCACATTCAGGGTGCTCCCGTCACAGAGACACCAACAGGACATGCTGCTCGGCACCCGAGGGCAGGCTTTCGTTTACACTGTGACCTGTTTGCCTTCAGTGGAAGTGACTTGATTTCAGGCTGTGTAGTTACCATTAATTTGGGGATTACGAACCCCACTCACCTCCCCCCCCCGAGGGGCAGTGTAGCAGGAGCTGCTGGGAGTCATGGGAGATGGGGCTGAGTGCACAGATGGGTGACAGAGATAAATGAAAACCAGACAGGTGCTCCCAGTGCTTCTTTCTCTCTCCATGAATGAGCCACAAAAACAAAACCTTGGGGAGTGGCCCACGGTTTGGAAGCCAAGTTCCGAACTCCCAGAGCCTGAGAGCACACACTGCTTGACCCCACAGAGCCCTTCAGATGGCAGGTGAGGACAATGTGGGGATCACACAGGGAATGCAGCAAGAGAACAGTGCCCCAGGGAGCACCCCAGGCCATAAATCCAAGGAACTTTACAGCCATCTGAAGGAAAGTCTTGCAATTTGGTCAGCCACAAATGGCTCCAAGGAAAGTCTGGGTCAGCTGTCAAGCCTGACAGTGTCTTCCTTCATAGCAGAGGGCAGTGGCCATGGAAAGGCCAGTTTTTCTTCCCCATTTTCCCAAAGGAAAGAGCCCTGAGCCAGGAAGGTTGTGTCTTCCCCACCTGTGATTTCATGGTCAAGCTAAGTCAATAAACTGAAACACAGCTTCGGTGCAGATGATTCTCGAAGAGGAAAACAGCAATTTTGCCTTCAAAAGATAGGCCATGGAGCCAGGAAATAAGCGTTATGTTTCTGGGCTACAGGCTGCAAGGGCCAAGCTCCCCAAGTCCAGGGCCGGTGCAGATGGCTCAGGCCTGGCAGCAGGGGCACCTGATGCCCAGAGAAGCTCGAAGGTCATCAGTGGGCAGAAGAGGTGCACAAGGACAGAGGTGTTCACCGGTGCCTCTCCGAGCCGGGACACAGGGCAAAGGGTACCGTCCGTGGGCCATGATGGTCGGTAGTACAGATCAAGGGCAGAGGTCATGGGGGTGGAGGGGCGGCCAAGTCGGGCAGGCTTGCTCCTCCTCCGCCTGATTGCTCAGCCCCTCAGTGGCTCTGGCCAGCCGATCTTCCCTCCCGCACGTCTGTTTTCTCATCCACAAATTGGGCACAGTCACACTGCCCTGCTTCTCTCACTGCTGATAGACAGGGACATGAGGCTGCCTCGAGATTCCAGCAAAAGTCACCCGGTAGGGTGGCCCGCCGCAGGTGCAAGTGTCGGAGTGACCTTATCAGCGACCGTCTTCCTCTCTTCTGGCTCAGATTAGTGTAATGATCCTAGCCCTGCCTGAGGCCCCTGTCAGCTTAGAATCTGGGTCTTGCCCTGGGTCTGAGGGTTTGGACCGCTTTGACACAACCCTGACACTCCGTGGTCACCAGGACACACCAGCACTTCGAACCAGCCAGCCCAGGTCTTCCCGGACAGAGTACTGCACAGCAGGCGTCAGCAGGCCCCCATGCACAGGGAAATCCACAAGATGCCAAAGGCCTACTTTCCAAGGACTAACACAACGAAAGGGAATCGGCCGTATGTACTGTCCAGCGTGACGAGCCAAATATTTTTCTCTAATTTCTACAATAATATGAGAAAAGTTGAAAAAGAAAAGAAAAAGCAGCCGGCGTTAGGCCTGTCTTTGCAGGCACCCGTCTCCAAAAATAACAGCCGTCCCTATGAATTACCAAGAAGACCATTTGCAAGACAGTTGCTTGATACAAGAAGTGGAACAAATTAACAGGAGCTTCCTGAGAAAAAGAGGCTTGGGGAGGACAGACTGACCTCAGTCAGACGCCCCAGGCGGGGCCAGCTCTCGGCCGCCAGCAGGTGTGGTGTGCCCTTCCTGCAGAGCGGAAGAGGTCCCAGGAGAGGTCACCCAGGCCTCGTGACCCAGAGCATTTAGACCACAGGGAGGGGGCCACGTGCATTTGGTAACCCGTGATGTACAACACTTCCAAACAATTTATTAACTTCTGGATCTGAGCTGCTGAAATAACACTGGAGGGGCAGATAGGAGGCCAGAAACTAGAAAGAGGCAAGAGCCAGAAAGAAAGCTCAGCAGGGCAGAGAAGCCAAGGACAGGATCAGACCAGGCCTGCCTTTCACAGGCGCGTAGTCAGAGCCTGCCAGCAGCAGGTTCGTCAGAAAGGCCCCTCTGTCTGGTACCAGGCAGTGGGAGCTGCACTGAGGGAGCAGGAGACAGTGAGCGCTGGGTGGGGATGCAGAGAGCAGAGCTCTGGCCCCTCTCCGCTCACCGAGTCCGAGCCCTGCCCTGGCTCAAGGTGTCCTCAGCCTCATGAGGTTGTCACAGAGGAAGTGGAAGGCTGGGAGCTGGGGTCTCAGAGCCAGCAGACCCGGGCCCCGCCCTGAAGTGTCCTGTGAGGAGCCGGAGCAGAGCCCTCCTGCACAGTCAGAAGAGGACTCCAAGTCTGCCTGGGGGCTCAGGTTGGGGACAGCAAGGCATGGCATCTGCTTGGAGTCCCAGAGGGCAGGACCGAAGCCGCCAGGGCTTGTCGCTGGAGCCACACATCCACGTAGCAGGAGGAAGGACTTTCCACCTGTGCAAGGGGCCAGCGCAGCGTCAGCGGGGACGCAAGCCTCCCAGCTTTGTCCTGCTCATAGCCCGTTCTCCCCTTGGGCCTTATTTGAGCACAAAGAGCTCTGAAAAAAAGAGAAAGGGGCGGGGGGATCTGACCCAGGAGTTCTCAGACTGCCGCAGAGGCTGAGCAGAGGCAGAAATGACCGGGTTGGAATCATGAGAGCTACGCGGGCTGGCAGCCCGGAGGGCCCAGCGAAGGAAGAATGAGAGGAGAAACAGCCAGAGGCGGGCTCCCCGCAGGAGGCAGATCTGGGCGCTCAGCGCCGGCCCAGCCCGCCTCTCCTCCACCGTGTGTGAACCGAGGGAGGCGCTGGACAGATGGATGGCAGGCACCCGAGGTCAAGGACCGAGGCCCTGGAACGCCCTGCTGGGCCTGGGATAAGAAAAGAACAGGACAGGCCGGCTCTCCAGAGCTCCTGGTCGGCTCCGTGGGAGCCAGCGCAGGGAGGGGAGAGGTCCTGCCCGCTAGAGGGAGGTGGTTTCCACTGGGAAGCCAGGGATTTGAAAGCAGCATGAGACAAACTCCAAATGTTTTACCACTGGAAATAAAATTGAAAATGGCCCTGGAACTCACCTTCTTCAGGGCTTCCAGGGGAGTTTGCAGCGAGTGAGTCACCGCGGACGCCATGGCCGGCAGCGTGCGCCAGGCAGCTGAGCTCAGGGGTTATCAACGGTGCTGGGGAGGCCGGGAAACCACAGGTCCCGCCCGGCCTAGAGCCCAGCCGAAGGGCTGCCGCACCCTCTCCACCAGCTGCAGGCAGCTCAGGGCCCGACCTGCTCCTCCAGAGCCTGGAAGAGGGCGGAGGCAGAGAGCAATAGCGCTGTCCTCTCCCCACAGGAAAAAGCGCATGACTAGTAAGGACCCCAAGGTCAGAGGTCAGGAGGCAGGTTGGGGCTGCAGCCAACCCCTTCTCCTCGGCGAATCACGGGCTTTTCAGCACTGCCTCCAGCTCTGGCCTCGAGAGCCCCTGTGACCCTTTCACAAGCGTCCTTCTGCTTCATGAAACGAACCCAGGACACCAGCCAGCAGAAACCGGCCTGTTCCGCACCCAGACTCTGCCTCATGCCTGTGGTCCTGGGGACCCTGGGGACCCAGTCCCATCTGGGGAAGATGAGCTGAGGGCTACAACTTCCTTTTCTTCTTTCATTTTTTAAATTCGGTGCAGGAAATTGAACCCAGGGCTTTCACACTAAGCTACGGCCTCATCATTGTCTGTTTGAGACAGGGTCTCACTAAGGTGCCCAGACAGAGCTAAAACAGTCCTCCTGCCTTCCAGAGCGCTGGGTTGTAGGCTTGCACCTCCACACCTGTCACAACAATTTCCTGACAGCTCAGAAACTCCTCAGGAGAGGGGAATCACTGTAACCACCAGCCACGTGCTCTCAGGTAAGCCTGTTATCAACCCTACAAGGAAGAAGCCCCGTATACCAGGCGAGAAAACTGAGGCTCAGAGAGATGGAGCGTCCAGGCTGAGAAGTGGCAAATGGCAGATTGAAGAAAGCATCAGAGCCTGAGTGTAGAGGCCCCATGGCCACCATTTCTCTGGCGCCTCCCCCTGTTCTCAGCACTCAGCTGACCCCTCAAAGGAAGGAACCCTTAAAGGACACCGACTGCAAGCCTGGCTGGCATATTCAGGACACCAGAATGGCACCCCACACCCTGGGTCCCAAAACCCAGAAGTGGGGCTAACTCAAGTCCAGGAGCTGTAATAATAACAATAATAATAATAATAATAATAATAATAACTTTCCCATTGCTGGAACCAAATACCTACACCAAAACTTAATGTGGCTCATGGTTTCCGAGGTTTCAGTCCATGGTCAGGTGATTCCAGGGCAAGAACGTCATCGTAGAAGAGTGTGGTAGAGGAAGGCTTCTCAGTTCATGGAGATCAGAAGCAGAGCAGGGAAACAGAGCCAGAGAGGAAGGGGCAGGGACCAGATATACACCCAAGGTCACCCCTCTATGCCCACCCAGACACCCCCAGAGGTGTGCTTTACCCATGCAGCTCCCAAGCCAATCCAGCTGACAATTAAGCTTAACAATCACAGATGATTATGCAGGTTGAGTGTTACTTGTCTGAAATCCTTGGAATCAGAAGTGTTTCAGATTTGAGATTTTTTTGCTGTTGTTTAGATCTTGACATACTACATTTGCAAATACATAATGAGATAACTTGAGGAAGGCAACATGAAATTCATTTGTGTTTTGTATACACCCTATAAACAGACTGGAGGTGACTTCGCACAACACTTTTAGTGCACCTTTGTTGTGACTGTAATGTATCCCATGCAGATCTTAGGCCATTTGGGCAGCAGAGCCCAGGGTCTCTGTTTCCAGGGGAAATGGCAGGGGAGCCTGGTATCAGGCTCCAGCTTGGAACACGGCTAGGGGGAGTAAGAGTAGCAGAAGACCAAGGCAGGGACATGGAAGCATGTGGCCAGGACAGCTGCCTTCCCTCATTCATTCACCGAGTTCTCTGGGCCCTAGTGCATTCTGGGAACATGGGGGTGAGTAACACCCTGGGCTCCCAGCCAAGAGTCTCAGTGCAGGCAGGGAGACTCCTCCTGGGTACTACCGGGTGAGCCTTGAGGGAGAGGGTGGGCCTCCACGACACGGGAAGCAGAGACAGGGAGCCCCAAAAGTCCACACCCCCGACCAAGGGGAAGGGGTGCCCGGGTGGAGAACAGAGACAGGCGCCTCGGAGAAGGAAGCGGCACAGGTCACGTGTGCGGTGTGCATGAGGACAGCCGTTCCGGGCTCTGGGAACGAGGGAAGCGGTCAGAGTTGAAGCCCAAAAGGCGAAGAGGCGAAGCCCCGGGAAGGACTTCCATGCGACTGGGCAGAGGACAGCGTCCAGACGCTGAAGCCGCCCTGCTCTGCCTCTGCCGCCGCAACCCCCGCAGGCCTCAGACTCCCCATCTCGCCCAAAAGGCCCTGGGACAGCACCAGCGCCCAGGACTGACGCCTGCGTGGAGAGACTGGCACGTCGTCATCTGCACAGAGAGCCCTCTCCGGGCTCAGCACGCAGCCAGCGAGAACACACTTCCAACTCAGTTTCCCCACCAACGCAGAGGTACAAAGAAAACGCGTACAGCGCAGTTCGCAGCCCTTTCTGTCCTCTGCCAGCCCAGAGAAACCTGCTGCGCCTTCTCCCTCCCTGGCTACTCCGCCCCTTGCCTGGCTAAACTGCCCTGCTGCCGCCTCATCCAGGAAGCTTTCCCGGCCTGCTTCACCTGCTGGGCCCCTCCCCACCGGGCCTGGCCTCCTGGGCCACCTGGGGCAGCGATGGGGTTGCCCCTCCTCAGTACAGAACCTTGGTCCACTGGGCAGGAGGGCCAGAACGGGATACACGGGGCTACATGTGACGAGCAGGTGCCAACGGGAGGCGGACGGTGCCCCAGGGCACACAGAGTGAGGCTCCTGGGGACAATAAATAAGAGCTGAGCTGCTCCTCCTTCCCTGCCCTTCACCTCAGTCCCTGAGCCCGGGGCCAGCCTGACACTGTCATGGCTCTCCGGGGAGCTGGACAGGCAGGGCAGGTGATGCCTGAGCCCTGTCGGAGTCTCCTCACCCCGTCTGAGTTGTCCCCAGTGCTCCTGCCGGGACCACCCCCTTCTCCGAAGCCCTTTGAAGTGAGACTGCCTTTTCGGACTCGGAGACCACCCTCACCCCTTGGCAGGAGAGCTGAGGCCCGGGCAGGGGGCACTGCAGGCACTGGAGGGCTCACTCTCCCGCTCAGCAGCGAGCCTGCCTTCGATCCCTGTCCCACCACCCAGGGCCCAGTCCCCAAGGCCTTGACCAAGGAATGGGCACCTTCCCTTCAGAGGCACCTCAGAACCATGGTGCTTACACCCAGCAGTTCAGGGAGGGAGGCTGAAACCCGAGTCCAAACCGGGGGGAAGACCAGAGCTGCAGATTCAGGAGTCCCAAAACGAGGAGGGCAGGGTGTGGTGACCTCGTCTGGCCTAGCTTCCTGCAGCTGGTGAGTCCCTCACTGTATGTGGAATCTCAGTACTGCGCTGTGTGCTGTGGAAGGAGGTGAGTGACCTGCTGTCACCTTCCCCTCCAATCACCAGTCCCCGCCGGCCTCATAGCTTTTCCACAGGCTACCACCACGGCCTACGCCCACCCCAGAGCCTGGCAACGCAGCTCCCTGAAACAAGGCTGGGCTCAGGAGAGGCTCTTCAACACCCAGGGCCTCTGACCACTGAGCCCCCGGGGAAGACACCAAAAGGGTGAGCAGGAGGGAGCAACCCGAGCCAACAGCCAACCTGGCACAGGCAGGAGGCCAGAGCCTGCAGGGCTCGGAGCGCAGCATGGCCCTGCCTAGACTCTGGGGGGAGCAGCAGCAGAGGGACAGGAACGAGCTCAGGCCAGGTCACCAGACACGTAGCAGAGGAACACGTCCTTGCCATGGAACCCACCCCAGCCTGGCAGACTGTGGCTGTAGCCACTCAGGCCACCCTGAGTCCTGGAGAGGTGGTGAAACTTACCCAGGCTCAGCTAGGAAAATGCCCTCAGCTTCCAGCAGCCAGCCCACGGGCCACCCGCTCTCTACTCCCCTGCCTCTTCCCAGTCCCCCTTGTGGGAGGCCACTGTGACCCCTGTGGCACTTCCCTGGCTTTGTGACTGGTGTTTCTCCCATGCACACCTTCAGAATCCCAAGTGGAAGATGCTGTCTTAGTCAGTTCTGTAGCTACAGAGCCCAGGAAGTACCTAGTAGGACACGCTTGCTCAAAGGATGGGTGGATGGGTGGATGGGTGGATGGAAGGGTGGGTGGATGGGTGGATGGGACTACATTTGACATCAATCACAGACATGATGAAGCTATCTTAAAGTTACCACTGCCAAACAAAAAACACTAAAATGGGTAAGAGTATTTGATCCAGCAATTTTGGTGTTTCAAAGTATCCTCCGACGGCCTGTCGGTCCCACTGGTGCTCACCCTCAGCAAGCTCCTGAGTGAGGCCATCAAGCCTAGACCTCCAGAGCCATCACGGGAGAGGAAGAGCAGCTGAATCCTGGCACCAGAATAACCCTTCAGTAATTACATGTTTCCAGACAGACATAAATAGACAGATTAGCCTTTCTGCATTTTTCTCATAAAAATAACAACAGTTCCTCAGCACACTGGCATGCATGTGGACATTAAGCATTACAACCTGCTGTTCTTGGCAGCCGGGCTGGCCTCCCTTGCTGTTCCCCGACTCCATCACCTCCGATCTCTTGGAGCCTGCTCGAGCCTGGCGCTGTCCGCCCATACCGCCCGAGCAGGTTGGCAGCCAAGCCCTGAGACTGGCTGCGGGCTTTATGAACATCAAGTCCATGGTCTGCTGCACTCTGGCTGGATCTTTATCTGCTCTCGGTCATTATGTAACTAAAAATCCTGTAACTCCGTGGAATGATTATGTGCCCATTTTGTACTAGAGAAAATGACAAGAGCGTTTGTTTCGTAAACAGTCCTAACTTAGAAGAAAAGCAGTCTCACTGGTGAGCCCTCCTCCTCGTTCTTCCTCCCATCCTTCTCTCATCTTCCTCCTCTCCCCCACCCTGTGTTCTCCTGTCACCTCGCTCTCTCTTTCACATCTCCCCAAACTCCCCTGCTGACCTGAGTCAGGACCGTGGCCGAGGACAAAGCCACCTGCTCCCCTGGCTTCTCTCTGCTCCATTTTCTCCACCCCTGACTGTACTCCTCTGAGGGTTAGGGATCAAAACTCAGAGCCTGAAGCACTGACTGTCACACCTCCTCTCTAAGGTCTATGAATCGCCTAAACTGAAAGAGGACGGACCTACCCTCATCCTCCTGGCAGGCACTG